CTGTGTTCAAACATTGTATCTATGTTTCCATATTGTTGTGTTCAAACATTGTAGCTCTGTTTCCATATTGTTGTGTTCAAACATTGTATCTATGTTTCCATATTGTTGTGTTCAAACATTGTATCCATGTTTCCATATGGTTGTGTTCAAACATTGTATCCATGTTTCCATATTGTTGTGTTCAAACATTGTATCCATGTCTCCTTATTGTTGTGTTCAAACATTGTATCTATGTTTCCATATTGTTGTGTTCAAACATTGTATCTATGTTTCCATATTGCTGTGTTCAAACATTGTATCCATGTTTCCATATGGTTGTGTTCAAACATTGTATCCATGTTTCCATATTGTTGTGTTCAAACATTGTATCCATGTTTCCTATTGTTGTGTTCAAACATTGTATCCATGTTTCCATATTGTTGTGTTCAAACATTGTATCCATGTCTCCTTATTGTTGTGTTCAAATATTGTAGCTCTGTTTCCATATTGTTTTGTTCAAACGTTGTTTCCATACTGCTACTTGTATGATTAAAGTAGATATGCACGTTTTTTCACGTTTGGCTATACACTACAAAGTAGATAGACCCGTTTCCTGCACCTGTAACATTTGCCGCCCCGCCCCCCACGTAGAAATTCGACATCTTAGTCTTTGGCCCAGTTATAAACTGATAAACGACGACTCACTTCAGAGTTGCGGTTTTCATATATGTTTAAAGAATAAAGGTATGGGTTTAGTTACGTAGTGCGAGATGGTTTCATATCACGACTTACTGCTCAGTTCTAATTGCATAACTATCGGGATTTTTCACGTATGAAAGTTTAATATTCAAAACGCCCGATTCCAATCCATTTGTCCCCATAGTGGCCCAACGGTAAGTCTAAAAGACTTATAATGCTAAATATCGAGTTTAGATACCCGTGGTGGACACCACGGATAACCCACTGCGTAGCTTTGCGCTTAACAACAACAACAAAATCTAGTTGACCCACGTTCGAGGATAGGTTGTCGTATTATATGGTTCATTTTACTTTTATTACTTTGTGATAATTTTCAAAGAAGTTTAAAACATACCCAATAAAATAAACATATCTTGAAACTAAGCTATAGCTAATAAAAGTCTCCGATAATTCTAGCTCGCAGTTAGTTTTGAAACTTATTAGTCGCCAAAAAATATTACTGGCTCCTTAGAGAAACACCCTATAGAGAAAAACAAAAGAAACAAAAAGGCTTAAAAGCTAACGAATTTTTTGTGTTCTTGATTACCGACGTAGCAAAGCTTCGATGCTCAAGAAGTTGAACTTCAACATGGTTCTACAAAAAAAAAAAACCTGTCCAAAATAATTTATAAAAACAGCGAACGTAGTTGAATGATATTCTCGTACGCAATACATATATATAGCGACGGTCCCTTAAACTTCACCTCCGTAACAAGTTGAGCTAAGTTGATTTGAGTTGAATCAAATATTCTTCCTTGGTAAAGTATTCATATTAACAATATACTGACACTCACGGTAGATCGAATAATCCTGTAAACATTGTTTTTCTGTATGTAAAACAATAAACAATTCGTACTCGTAGTATAAAAATGAAGGTATTTCAAGATTTGTAACCTGCTAAACCAGTACTTTATCACGAAATGAGCTCCTTGATAATCTACGTCGAGTGTTGCCGCCTTGTGGAAATGGTGTATACATATTGCTCTGTTTGGTGGTTCATACTACAATCCATTTAATTAAGAATACACAACTAGGCCTAAATCAGCACAAATAGGACAAAACAGGGGAAAGTAGAATATCACAAGATACGATATGAAAACAATGCTTCACAGCTTTGATCATAAACAAGAAATTAGTCAGGGGAGTGCGAGTCGTTCAGCAACCTAACGCCATTGGGGAGGAGGGGTGGGGCGAGTCGATTTGCAACCTAACGTCATCCAGAAAAAAGATTTATTTAGACCAAACGGATAAACGACGATAATTTTAATTCGTTTTGAGGTAGATAACGATCATATCACTCCAGAGACGTATTCAGTTAAAGTATCATATGTTTACTAATTAGCTTGGAATCATACGACTTACACCTGAACAAGAATTTACACGAATTTATAGACAACAATAAATCATGGGTTTGCGAAAGCATTTTGAACGAAAATTTCGGATTCTACTCAGAGGTGCTAAAATGGAGAATTAATAATGTCAAAATTATACAATATAAATAATCAAAATTTACCTTTAATTACATAAAAGCGTTAAGATGGCCGTCATTAGCATGTGATGGAGATGGATAACTAGTGGGGTTTCTTGGGAAAGGCTGGGGTAACTTTATCTCTCTCTCTCTCCTGTCAAATGGTTTCGTAAAGATTCAGCTTTTCAAATTTAATTAGAATGACGAAAGAGGAAAACTGTGATCACAACTAACACGTACTAACGTCACGCGCGTGTTGCTCAACCTTGAGCACCATGCTAGTTTGGTAACCCGGTGATCTTGTCACGTCATCGTGAAACCAGTACACGCCAGATAATGTAGAAAAGCAATTTTCTTCTCAAAGTCACCAGTGTTTCCTCAAAAGGAAAAACTGTTGATTTTACAATAATTTCCTTCTGGTGAAGTAACAATAACAACCAAGTCGAAAAAAAAAATCACTATAACACTAATTAGTTGGTTAACAAATTATCAACTGCTGGATCTGAAGCACACGTTGCACGTGGATCAGACGAGACTTGGTGTTAGCGTTACCACGCTGTGAACCTGAGGGTTCATTGTTCGCGTCCTGTTGTCACACAAACACACTCCGCACTGTATGCGGTCGTGGTTGTCTCAGAAGACCACTGTTCAGTCAGACAAAAGTGGCCTAAAAGTTAGCGGTTGTCTGTTAGCTCCAAATTAGGGACGGTTATGCTTAGATGGCCCTTGTGTAGCATTATAGGAAAATTAAAAATAAACAAACAGTAAAAGCATGTTTGTTGTTTCAGAATATCTAAGCCACCTCTGATGTGCACAACGCACGAATAATTCAAGCGAACGTGAGTTTAACACGTGTAAATATGAATGGAATGAATAAAGAAGGTTCGAAGTACAGACAGTCGAAATACACCGAAAAATCTTCAAAAAAAGAATTCTTAACGGCTTGAAAACAAAGCTGTTTAAAATATAGGTATTAGGTCGTCAAGAAATTAATGTCGCGTTTTGGAACACTTTCATTAACCACCCCCCAAAAAACATACATCACCTAGTATAGTTAAACGAACT